TAAGACGAAAACAATTAATTCCTTTTTTAAGCGAGTTAAAGAAAGCAGGTAAATATCCTAAACTCCGAGGTGATTCTATTCTGTTGGGCAATTATTCTTTGACGTATAGCTATGTGTTGGAGGAGCTGGTATACTCGGATTCTTTTACCCCGTTTTCTACTTCTGAGAATACTCTGCAATGACATATTATTAATTTAAATACACCTATCCAAGACTTACGCTTTGTGGAGACTCAAATTTCAAGTCCTTTGTCTGCTGCAAATAATAAATGAAAGTTTACACGATATTGCGTACAATTAAAAAGTCTCCCATTTTGAAAAATGGAAGAAATTATATATACCTAAAAAAGAAATAATTACATTATTGTTTATTTATTGATTAATAAATTAGAAATAAATAACCTGACATAAAATTTTGGTTAAAATTATGGTAAATGTACTTCTCGAACAACAGCAAATACTATTTGAAGTTTTTCGTACATACGAAATTTTGAGAAGCTCTATTCTTTTTGTTGTTATAACTGGAGATTTAAATGCTATATTGTACAGTTCATGATTTTGCTATATAAAGGACCTAACGTTATAAATTAAAACATTCGTAAAGCCAAAGATGTTAAACAGACTAAAATGGATTGTAACTTTCTAAAATTAACGACTCAAGCTCAATTATATATGTTTAATGGCAGAATTGAAAAGGTCTTGCCTTCTGAATTTATTATGTATTCACTTCGGGAAGCTCTATTATCGATTTGTTTATATGTTTAGTATTTCTAGTGGATTTATGTTTGGAGATTCAGGTATTATATTGTGATTTATCAGACCAATTTTCTGTTAGTTCGTTCTTTGGATTGAAAGAATTGTATCATATTGATTGTGTTATACCGAAGTATCAGATAATTGTCTATCAATATCAATGATATCAAGTCTTCTGAAGAACTGGATTTATTTATTCGTAAATTTAAATATTAATACTGATCTTGGAATGGATATAATTACCATTAATTTTATTAATCTTCTACCGCCAGCGGGTAGGCAAGTTCATCTTGATATTTATAACCATTTTTATAAAATATATATTATTTTTTCACTGAGTGTACAAAGATTGTTGAAGCGCAATGTAAATCTAAATTAAAAGAAACTTATGATTTAAATTAATAGGAAAATTTCAGAACCAATCTAGAAATAATTCTGTTGTGTAAGATGTATAATATTTATAATTTTTTGTTCATATTTTAAAGATTTTGAAATATGATAGTGTAGATTGCATGATTGGTATACTATGTTTATTAAGTTTTATGTAATAGGATACTTAAAACATGTTTAAATGAATATTAATTGTATTCTTGTAATTTTCTAAAGCCAACCCCCCTGTAACAAGACTTTTCTTATTACAATAAAGTATTTGTATTATTTTCAATACTGATTATCCTAAATTATAGCTGAATTAATCAATGCATTGTTGTTTAAAAAAAAAAAAAAAAAAAAAACAATATTTTTGGCTTAGTTAATGGTTTATCTTAAGGCATTGACAGTTGGAAATGGAGTAATTTTACTTTCGTGATGCATTGATTAATTCAGTTGAGTATCCAGATAATTATAATTTAGATCAAGGAGGAATTATTTTAACATTTAAGATCCCAGACATTCTATAATGTTCAAATGTTTTGTAAATTGTAACAGGAATTTATTCCAGAATATAATACTGATTTAATATCAAAATGACTTTTTTACAACTGTTTTATAATTTAACTAAATTTACAATGTTGAAAGCTAAATAAAAAAAAAAATTTTTTGAAGTCCTCAGCATATCCATTTNTGTAGAAATAAAAATATTTTGGTTAAAATGTATAAAAGATTTGACTAATAAAGGTAATAAAAACAAAATCCTTAAAACCAAGGTGTAAAAGCTTTCACTATGTTTATCAGGAAGTCTGATAAAGTGAAGTGAATTAAAAGCAAAAGAAGCCTGAAGAGGGGCATAGAGCCCAAAATGCATATCTGTTCTTTTGATGGAAAAAGTATATTTATTTTCTATAAATTAGGAGATTTCCTGTATGATTTGTTCTCAATAGCAACTTTATGCTAATTCCAAAGGACATACAAATGATGCAAAGTTTTTAAAATATGAACAATACATATAAATAATATATATATTATATATATTTATGTAATTAAGTTACTACTTACATTTACATCTGCTCCCTTTTCAGCTAGATATCGAACTACTTCTGTCTGCCCATAATCAGCAGCATAATGAATAGGTGGTCTTCCATCAATGCAATCATTTACATTAATTTTCTATAAATAATAAATAACTCATTTAGAATCATTCGTAAATCAGTATGATCCATATGCCTTTTGTCATTTTCAGCATTTAATCTATTATCATTTTATTACAAATATTTTTTCATTATACAGGGTGTCAATAATAAGTTAAAAACTTGACACTGTATTTCAAATTCCTGCCAAAATATACTGTCAATACTTTGGCAGGCCATATTGCAAAACTAAAACAGACTTTTGAAAAACTTATTTAATGTTATTATTAATGAAAAATTATACTGTATTCTATGCATATGTTTTCTTTGTACATACACGGTGTAAATGAACTCAGTGCTAGTATTTTCTATGGTCAAAAATAAGTCTAAAATCCTTTTATTTTACACTTATTTTTGACCAGAGAATCTATCCCTAAAATACTAGCACTGAGTTCATTTACACCAGGGGTCGACAAACTTTTTTGATCGTCGACACCCTACAACTTTTTGAAACCTCACATCGACCCCCACCAAAAAGTTTGTGTTACAAGCAAAAAAAAAAAGCTCTTACTATTTTATTATATATGTTAATAATAATTTATGTAACTGACAATCAATGAGACGGATAAGCTTGATAATCCTTAGCAAGATTAGCAATATTCGGTTCAAAATTTGTAAGTTTTAGTCTTTTCATCAACCACCAGGGGTCGATATAGACCACTTTGGTGACTGATTTATACCATGTATAAAGAAGACATATACATAGAATAGAGTATAATTTATTGGCAATCAAAATATTAATTAAATAATATTACAGAAAATTTTTAATGATAATTTAATATTTCCATTAATTCAATTCTTGATTAGAAACTGCATTATTTCAAAACCATGGTTTGAAAAAGTGCAGTTGACAAGGGATTCCTGTATTTGAGCTATAAAAATTTGATACAATAAATGGGAAGGAGATTAAGGAAAACAGCTTATGATATTAAATATTCAGTATAACAAGTCAACTGGTATTTATCAGAACAAGTGGAAATTTCAATCATGTTCTGATTAGATTGTTTAGTCACCATTTTCTTTGATGGCACTTATGAACAAAGATACAAAATAATTGAAAGTCATTGCTAACACTCAACTGATTCACTTCCCCAAACAATGATCTTTTTTTGTACTGGTGACTACAATTTAGTTAATAAGTGGTGAAACAAATCATTATCTTAACTAATTTTTATTTTTTTACCAGTAAATAAAGAAATGACTGATAACTTGTATATTTGCTTTTCTTATTTCATATTAGCTCCTTTTACTTACATAAAAAATAAATAAACTGAAAATGTTGATTACATTAGAATTTACTTCATTTAGAATTACTCATAAATCAGTCTCACTGAAATTTTGAAAATCAATGTAAACACACAATCCATAACAGAGTTATTTCTGCTTTGCAAGTTCTTATTTTTATAAATGATATAAATTCTTTATGCAACTGTAGTTCGTTTTGTTTCTCCTGAGGATGGTCAGTAAAATATGGCCAAAAACATTAGAAATTAATGCAATATTTAAGGTTTTTTTTAAACCACTTCAAGTGTTTTAGTATTCAGCATTACATTTCTGAATAGTTGTAAATTCTTTATTAAGATTGCGAGAAATGCAAATTTTAAGTACTATATTTTTGACTGATTAAATGGATACATAATATCATATCTTTGAAATCAGTAAAGTGTTGTACCATATTATATACTTATCAGCAACAGTCAAGGTTGGCAGCCTGACGTCCTGGGGACCCGGGATCGAATGCAGATGGGTTGAAAAAATCCCCAGGAATTTTTCAGGGGGTGGACCATCCGGATATTTCAGGCCCTCTTAGTGCCCACAGGGCATAGGGTTTAAAAGTATATATACAAAAATATATATACATATATTCATCAGATCAAAAAATAAATAAATAAAACAGTTCATCAAAATAATAACTATTATTTCAAGAATATTATAATATGTCAAGAAAGAAGACAATTTTTAATTTTATAGGAACAAATTAAGTCCTGAAAGCAAGGATCAATACTATATAGTTTCATCAAAATTATATATTTCTTTTATACCAAAAGAATGGAAAATATCTAACATAAAAATAAACAAATATTTACATCATTCAATAAATATATAAAAACATAAGGAGAATAATTTAGTTATAGTAATAACTTCTGTAGATTATGAAAAAGTTTTAAATATTTTCATATTTTTCACTAAGAAAGCATATTTTATACAGGTATACCTCGAGTTACGTCGTTTGTCAAAAAAAGTATATGGAAAAATAAAAATCAAGTTTAAGTCATTTTATTCGACTTTACGTCTGTCCGCCACAAATACTGAAGTCGTAATATCACTAGAAAAATGTTTAAAGCACATAAAATCATATTATACTATATACATTTACAAGTATATACTGTATTTACAGTACATGCATTCGTAAATTTAAATTACTTTTTTCTGTACTATATTAAAAACTAAAATTTATTTGTTTATAAGCTTAAAATAGATCCTTATTAACCATATATTATTAAAAATGCATTAATAAATAAAATACAGAAC